TAAAAGACCAAAAGTCCTCCAATGAATCTCTCTTTGCTTGCCATATATACACAGAGTTCCATTGCTATGACTTCCACTCATCGTCATTCTTTTCGCTTATGTTTTCCGTGTTTTCCGCGGCACATAAAGAATGACATAAAAAATATGACAAGAAACAGCAAATGAATAGACCAGAATAGAGAGGAAGCTAAACTAAAAGTTTGAAAAGATTTACAATATTTACTTTAAAATGTCATAATGTATAGAAGCAGCATTCAAACGTGTCATTCAATAGCCTCTCAAGTGATTGGCTGAAAGCTGAAATATGTCCACAGACTGACAAATACCACCACATGGAAAGTCTTTTCAGGAAAACTGTGTTCATCGTTCGCACACAAAATCTACTGCCAACATAAACTTCCATTTTGTGGGTAAAGAAAGATTTGAATGGGCCCTCAAACCCGGAATCATAAAGCCACTTTATAATGTCGACGATTTTCCCTTATGAAATGAAAAGCCACGGTATTATTTTATGGTTTGCCATACAGCGGCAACAACAACTACAACAACGACATTATCAACCCAAACACATTTATGATAACCTGTAAAAGTCATTAAGGTGTGTGGGTTGTCATACATATACATATGTATGTATGAATGTTTAATACGCATCTGTAGGTGGGATGGGTAGAGGCACGTGTTTGTGGTTAGACCGACATTTTTATACTCTACATCATTAGCATATTTTTCTTAGTTAATGAAGCACGGATCTGCTTTACAACAAGCCATGTTTTGGTAAACTGAAAAACTACTACCCATTGTTTCCAAATCCTGGAACATGGATCGTTGACTGGGTTTGTTCACACCATAAAGGGAAATCAAAAATTGAAGTAAAAAAGAAAGCAGAAAGCAAAGAAAGATAACTGAGTTCATGTAAATCATTCGTCGTCAAAAGGAATAAGTTTGCCTGTGTGAAATAGGCATCCAGACAGTTGAAGCAAGTTATAAAATAATTTAGAATGAATAGTTTACCTCTCGATTGCGATTATCTGCAAAATTTGTTTGCACTGCCAAAGATTATTATCATTTGCGATCTGTGAAAAATGCTTGACTGCACGGGACTGCATAGGACTTAGTGGTCACATGGAAGTAAAATACAACTCTGATTCGAGACAATATGTCTTGTCAATTTAACGCAGGGTACGACGTTACCGAATAAGTAAAAGAAATGCTAAGGTATACTGTTCTAAACCTTCGATGATAGAAGAGAAGTTGGTCCTTATTTCTTGGAGAAAACTCAATTTATTTATTGTTAGAAAACTATTCGGTGGACTAAAATTATCCTAAGTTAGCATTCGCACATCTGTTTCACGCAAGTGCATATCTCTCACTAGCTCTTTATCTATGAACGTAGCGTGTATAGGAAAGATTTTCTTCATGAACAAGTTCATCAGCCAAGCCTTAGCAAAATTCACAGATTCCATAATACTTTACAATACAGTGTGGTTGCTATCCTGAGGTTTTCTCCCATCCATACAAGGGAAAGAACCTTAACCGCTAGAGAAACCAGGATATTTTTGGTAAAAGTACGTCCAGGATCAGGGGGGTCGCTTTGTTACCAGTGTACCCGTAACCTAAATAAATTTATTATGGGGTTTTGAGTAAATACAAATGAAACGAGTTTTGTTTTTTTGTTTCAATAAATGCATTGGGCAAAAATCTACTCAAATATAAATCTAAGCAGACCACAAAAAGGAACTATGGGTCTATTTCCTTTTTATTGTTTCAAACGAATGCACAAAGATATACTACTCTGAGCCACCATTCCACTACTTGTTAGCTCTGAGAAACTCCTCCAAAACTCATTTTTGACATCGAAAATATGTCGGTTAAATGGCTCGTGTTGGAAGCAGACAAAATTCTTTAAACTGATACTAACACCATTTTTTATTGTACAAGCATCAACCTTGGCTTTAAAGCAAACTGAAGCTAACATTTTCGCATTGCATTTGTGACGGCATAGAGCCCAAATCCTACTATATCCAATACACCTAAGTCTGTTTTTACACGGTAGATTGGTTCCAGAAGAAGCCGTGTAAAAAAAACCGTGTAAAAAAGACATTGATTTTATGGGTGATTTGTTCCTAATGGGTGATTTGTTCCTAATTTCTAAAACCTATTAAAATTAGTGAAAAACAAGAATTTTTAAGAACAAGAATTCATGTCTATTTTATTAAATCAAATATATAATGCTTGTGCTATTCACATTTGCTTTGACCAGTAAAAAATGTTTGTACGCGCTAAAGGGGAATTCACTTAAATCTTTAAGCTAGTGTTCGCAAACTATTGATACTATCGATAGTTTCAGACTTTTTTCTTTCATAAATACTTTTTTGTGATATGAACATACTTCGCAAAAATTAAATTTGACAAAAAAAAATTAAATACATAAAATTTCAAATCGTGCTAAATGGAATAAAATCGTGTAAAAAAATTAAAAATATTCAATTTTCAAACCGTGTTATATCAAAACCGTGTACAAAAAGACCGTGTAAAAACAGACTTAGGTGTACTATTAAATGGCCGCTACTCAGTCAGCGAATAGTACATTAGTTCCAACAAGTTTCAAGTTTATTTTTTCCATCTGATCTCTACACATAGTTATTTAATAACTTATTGTCTAACAATATTTCTTAAGTCTATAGCTTAAAAATACTTAGCATAAAGTCTTATTTTTCTAAGTTTATCTAAATAATACGGTAAGGGGGGTCACAGATTTAATGTTACTCAAAATTAATTCAATAACTTTAATGTAAATAAATTAACATTAATGAATTCCCCTAAAAAAGATGTATTAAAAAGGGACCCTAACATTTTTATGATTTTTGTTTCTTACATACTAAATTTAAAAACTAATCTTATGCCATTATATTCTACTTATACTAATTTACATACTAATTAGTTCCAACAGTTCGTGTTAGGCCTTTTATTTACTCAAAATAAACAATTTATTCAGTTTGACAAAGATTTTTAATCAAAACTTCATACATCGTACTACATTTACAGACTTTCAAGGTTTTTTTTATCTTATTCAAGTTTTTCTTTTTTCGGAAAGAATAATATGCAAATGTTTACCCTCTACAACAAGAAGTATTCAAATCTTTCATTTTGAAGTTTAGCGAGGAGGATACAAGTAAAACAATTGCTCAATGGATTTAATATTTTTGTTAAAACTATTTAAACGTCTCCATATGTAAAATCTAGAAACCAACAGTGACCTCAATATCAAATTTCAGAATTGCATCTCTATCCCTTCGTCCAATGCCAAATAATACACATATCCAAAACAACATACATCCATCCTAGACTCCAACAGTGATCCAAATATAGTACCATTTAGTACTTTTCGAAAAATTATGGTACACATTTCCGAAACCACCAGCAAATCTCAACACCAGTTACCAACAGATACCTTAATATCAAATTTGGGGACTCCAGTTCCATACATTCACTCAATAGCAAATTTTGGTAACATGTAGTACTTTAAGTACTCATTTACAAAACCACCTCCATATCTCAATTCCAAATACAAACAGAGACCTCAATATCAAATTTGAGAACTCCAGCCTTATCCTTTCTCCCAATACCAACTTTAATACCATTAGTACTTTTCGTACAGATATAGGACGTATTTCCAAAACACCGTCAAACATTAAACGAAGATACAACCAATAATCTAAATATCAAATTCCAGAACTGCATCTTTAACCCAACACCCATGGTACCAAAGTAGTACCATGTAGTACTTTTCGTACAATTACAATATGCATTTTCGAAATCACCTCCATATGTCCAGGCTACACATGAACTGCGACCCTAGTACCAAATTTCAGACTTCAAGCTCTATATGTTTACCCAATACCAAATTGTACAAAATATAGTATCAAGTACCAAGCATTTTTCGTACACTTATAGAACACATTTTTAAAACTACCTCTTCATCACAATCCTACAGCAGGGTCCCCAATACAAAAGTTCAAAATTCCAGCTACATCCGTTCACCTTAAACCAAACTGTTTCAAATTTAGCACCATTTAAGCACCAATTTGCACACCTAGTACTCAATTCCAAAACCACGATTATATATCAACCTTACTTTTCAACCTTGATTTTTATGCCAAATGTTACCATTTTAGAAGTTAAGTACCATTTTGGTACTTTTCTACCCATTTTGCACGAATTTTCAAAAATACTTTGATGTAAATATTGCACTCCATTAGTGACTCTCATTTAAGATCATCAAATCACTTAACATTGGTGTGTATATTGTTATGATATCATAACAAGAGAGATGTCAATATTTTGACTCTGACTTGACCTATCTTTATACTTCTAAGACTTTGATGCAACCGAAAATGGATTTAGAAACCTTTGCCTTTTGTAAGCCCCATACACATTATATGAGTTTTTAAGCGATGTTCCACCGAGTTTCCCTCGTTATGTTTGCGCGTCTAAAATTGGAAAGTTTTCGGAAAACGACACTGTTAAAGTTAAGAGTTTTGTCTTATAATTTTAAATCAAATCATAGAATATAGCGGGAACTTCATCTTACACTGAACGTGACATTATTTACTTCGCCTTAATAAAATCATTTCAGTTATTTAACCCCAAAATTGGTCCATCTCCAACTTAGATTACTGCCATAACACGTAATAAGTCCAATGTCCATACCTTTTCTGTAGGGTATACATTTCATCACTGTACATAAATATTGATGAATGCACGCTGACAGACTAAAAAGCAAGCAACGATCCGAAACATTGACGCTAACAACATGTCTTTAGAAGACAACTCTAAAGTCAACAGAAGCCAGCAAATATAACAACTTTTCTATAGAGAAATTGTCCGAGTGCTTCTATTTCGAGGCAATGTAAAACTGAAACCCTCTGCTGTTCAGCCAAAAGGATACGGATGTGCCTAAGAAGGCTATTTAAGATAGTGTAACTAATAACGTGGCTACAGTTGAAGCGCAACTTTTGAAACGGAAACTCAAGTGGCATGAAAAAGTAAGAGCAACATATTTTTCAAACATCCAACGAATATTTTAAAATTCCAAACGAATACAAGTTATTTATTAAAACAAAAACAAACCAGCAGCATCGACAAGAAATGGATACAATCCATTGACTAAATCACAATGAATTTATTGGATACGTCTCTATTGGAAAATGTGGCAAATCACAAAATTTGTATGCTAAACAAGAAGAGTGTACTGCCGAAAATCCTGTGAATGTGATATACATATACATAAGGAGAAAATGGGTGTGTGTGCGTCTGTATGTGTTTCTTTGTGCATTTGTGGGTTCGAATAAAAGTTTGATATATGATCATAGATTTGCTATGACAAAACATTATAAATCATTTTCTGTTTTCCTGTATTCCAACTTCGCCCGCCCCATACAACCTGCAATAAAAAACTACAGCATGGTTTCCTCTCAAACATAAACTCAGCCCCAACAGAACAGAACCTCAACCTTGTCAAAACAAAACTTTCATAATTTGTCAAACAAAAAAACACGAAACTTGTGTTGCTGCTGTAAACGTTGTGGAAATTGAATAACCAACCCTACAATCATAACTACGACAATAACAACAAAAAAAATATGAAAAAATAAATCTAAACTTCCAAAAATGCCAAAACAAATAAATCTAATTCGTAATCTAATAAGGAAGTTGACTCGTTTGATTGGCTTGTTAATAACGTCCATAACGTTGCCATCTAAATTGCTATGTAGGAAGAAATCGTCCATTGTTGATGAATTAAAAAATGTAATTGTTCTGCCCGAAACATCATTTATCAAATACTAAAGCTGAGAAGGCAGAACATTTTTATTTTCTTAAAAAAAAGATAAATGAAATACGTAACATCATAATAATCTCAAGTTAAGTCAAAGTTAAGTACCCCCAATACTGCTCGGAGATACTAAAATGCTAAACTACACTTAGAATCGTACCTCTTGATTTTTATCTCCCACACTAAACTTCATCAAATTTAGTGGAAATCGTATGATAAATATGATATCGCTTCCATAGTTTGGTGCCTATTATTTCGTAATAAGACTTATAAGAAATAATAGGTTTTTTTTAAATTAATTTAGGTACCAGCTGCTATTTACAAAACAACGTACCAACTCCAATCTAGCTTCCGAACGAAATTAAGTAGGTTGATAAAATTGTATTGCAGGACTTTTGGTATTGAAAATGAGCAATGTCCATGTAGCGACATTATTCATCGAAATTGTTTGAAATTCGGTATTTGTAGTTCGTATTGGATACTGCAGCCTAAGGCAGAAAATTGTCTGTGCAGCTCCACATTAGCCCCCATGAATAATGTAGCTAAAATTATCAATATAGGGAGGTACTATATTGATAATTTTAGCTACATTATTCACCGATGCCACAAATGCTTGAAGTGTTACTGATATCTGGGACTTTTTTACTTTGCTTTTTATACCCTGCACCACATAGCGGTAAGGGTATTATGTCTTTGTGCATTTGTTTGTAACATGGAGAAGGAAACGAGATAGACCCATAGTTACTTTTGAGAACCTTCATAGAATCACTTTCTGAGTCGATTTATGCATGTCCGTCCGTCCGTCTGTCCGTCCGTCCGTCCGTCCGTCTGTCCATGTATTCTTGTGAACAAAATGCAGGTCGCATTTATTATCTGATTGAGATGAAATTTTCCAAACAATATTTTTTTAGCCCAAGGACGAACCCTATTGAAATTGGTGAGAATCGGATCAAATTTAGATATAGCTCCCATATATATCTTCATCCGATTTCGGGTTAAATGAGCAATGTCCACTATCAGTCCAAATTACCTGAATTTTGGCACACCCAACCGGGTTCGGCCTTGAAGCAAGTATATCAAATTTGGAGAAAATCGGTTCAGATATAGCTATAGCTCCCATATATATCTTTCATCCGATTTGATCTTTAAGTCCCTCACATTCCTACTATGCACTCCACAACCGTGATATTTGGTACCAGGTATTAGATGGAGCACAGAAATAGCTGTTTTAAATTTTATCGAAATCGGTTCAGATTTGGATATGGCTCCTATATATATTTTCATCCGATTTCGGGTTAATTGACCACCAAATGGCCAATATCAGCCCAAATGGCCCGAATTTTGGCACATGTGACCGAGATTAGCCTTAAAGTAAATACAACAAATTTGGAGAAAATCGGTTCCAAATGGACTGAATTTTAGTACATCGGACCAAATTCAGCCTAGAAGCAAGTACATCAAATTTAGTGAAAATCGGTTCAGATATAGATATTGCAACCATATATATGTTTCATCCGATTTAGTGTTTTAGTCCCTTACATTCGTAATGTTCACTCCACAACCGTGATATTTGGTACCAGGTATTAGATGGAGCACAGGAATAGCTGTTTTAAATTTTATCGAAATCGGTTCAGATTTGGATATAGCTCCCATATATATCTTCATCCGATTTCGGGTTATTGATCACCAAATGGCCGTAATAGCATCAATTTTGGCAAATCCGACCGAAACCAGCTTAGAAGCAAGTACACCAATTTTAGTAAAAATTGGTTCAGATATAGCTATAGCTCCCATATATATGTTTCATCCGATTTCGTCTTTAAATCCCTCACATTCGTAATATGCACTCCACAGAAATGATATTTGGTACCAGTTATCAGATAAAGCCCAAAAATAGTTGATTTTAATTTTATTAAAATCTGTTCCGATTTGGATATGCCTCCCATATATATCTTCATCCGATTTCGTGTTAATTGTGCATCAAATGGCCAATATCAGCCCAAATGGCATGAATTTTGGCAAATCCGACCGAAACCGAAAAATTGCAAGCGCACACATTTTAGTAAAAATCGGTTCAGATATATCTCTAGCTCCATATATATGTTTCATCCGATTTGCTCTTTAAGTCCCTTACATTCGTAATATACTCTTCACAGGAATGATATTTGGTACCAGATATCAGATAAAGCCCAAAAATAGTCGATTTTGATTTTATAAATATCTGTTCAGATTTGGATATAGCATACTCTTCACAGGAATGATATTTGGTACCAGATATCAGATAAAGCCCAAAAGTAGTCGCTTTTAATTTTTCAAAATCTGTTCAGATTTGGATATAGCACCCATATGTATCTTAATTCGATTTCGAGTTAATTGTGCAACAAATCGCCAATATAAACCGAAATGGCATGAATTTTGGCATATCTGGACAAATTCAGCCTAGAAGCAAGGACACCAATTTTAGTAAAAGTCGTTTCAGATATAGCTATAGCTCCCAAATATATCTTCATCCGATTTCGGATTAAATGTGCAGCAAATGGCTAATATTGGTACATCAAATTTAGTGAAAATCGGTCGGATACAGCTATAGCTCCTATATATACCTTTCATCCGATTTGTACTTTAAGTCCCTCAAATTCGAAAAATGTACGATACAAGAATAATATTTGGCATCAGATGCAGCCAAGAAATATCTTCTTTTTCAGTTTTACAAATATCGGTTCAGATTTGGATATATATATATCTTCATCCAATTTCGTGTTGATTGCGCACCAAATGTCCAATATCAGCCCAAATGTCCTGGGTTTTGGCAAATCTGACCGAATTCAGCCTAGAATCAAATACATCAAACTTGGTGAAAATCGGTTCAGATATAGCTATAGTTCGTAAAATGCACGATAGAATTAGATAGATTTTGATTTTGTACCAAATATCTCATAGAGCTCTGAAATGCTCTGTATAAACCTTTTTACGAGAGCTCTACTAAATATGCATAGTGGTGTAGGGTATCATATAGTCGGCCCCGCCCGACTTTTGAGCTTTCCTTACTGGTTTCTTGTTGTTGTAGTTGAAGGCCAAACTCTTATTTATTTTTTTTTAGTTTTATAATTCTAATGATTAATAATTAATAATTTTAGTTTGCACAGAATTTATTATAATGTTATGTTTTTTGGCCTTAAAATTAAAAATCCCAAAAAAATGCTTGTTTATAATATGCAAAAGTTCTAATTACATCACATATTTAAAAAAGTCGATGCCTCAAAACGTCTTAAACCTGCTCTTAGAAAACAATATATATTCAATTGAGTTTAACAGCTATATGGGATAACCTTCGTAAACAAAATAAACCAAGACCCTTTGCTCTTGTTACATACATTTACATATTTCTGTTTTTTTTTTTTAACACTCAGCCCTATGGAGGGTATATTAAGTTCGTCATTCCGTTTGTAACTCATTGAAATAATAATTTCAGACCTTACAAAGTCTACGTATGAAGATTTAGCCCTGTCCATCCGTCTGTCTGTCATTCCGTCTGTTGTAATAACGCTGGAATAAAAACGAATTAAGATAGGAAGCTAACATTTTGCACCGATCAGTCTTATGTCTGAAGGCAAGCCAAGTTCGGTCTACGATATCGTATAGCCCCCATATAACGCTACCCCATTATTCGACATTTCGATCATTTAAGCCACATTTTCCAATGGAATTTTTCATATGGGTCCACGATATCGTATATCCCCCATAAAATGGTACCTCGCGATATTTTGTATTCTGATGATTTTAGCGATATTTTTGATCGGAATTGTTTCAAAATTCGTATTTAAAGTTCGTAATAGGTACTACAGTCTATGACGGAAAATTGTCTATGTAGGTTCACGTTTTCATATAGCCCGCATATAATGGCATCTCCGTTTATTCGGTATTTTTGGTACATTTTTTACAGGAATTGTTTCAAATTTCCAATCGTAATGGGGACATCCTTTATGCGGTATTTTTCGAGGGAATTGTTTGGGCATTTTTCTTTCAAAATTGTGGAGGGTATTAAAAGTTCGGCCCGGCCGAACATAGCAGCTTTTTTACTTGTTCTTCTTCATCTCACGTTTACATATTCAACTATTTGATAATGGCCACATCTACTGTTTCCGTTCACTGCTACTTTTGGCTTAGTTCTTATCTTATATCCATCCGGTTTTCAAATTCATTGGAACTAAA